ACTTGCTTTTATAGGCAGCTTGATCCAAGAGAACTTCACGTTGAGAAGAGTGTCCCAAAAGGTCTGAGCCTTTTTGTCTTCACATCAAGTGACCTTTCCTAGAAGAAGAAAGCACAGAGAAATCCTTTTTGTCTGTGTTCTTGTGTCTAGCATAAATAAGGAAAGAGTCGTTTGGATTATTCCAACGGACATAATCTTTGAATTCTTCTTCTTCAATTTTCAGCAAGATTCATCAGAGTCTAATTTGATCAGAGCCTTCTGATGTTGATCAGAGTTTTGCTGAATCAGAGTCTTTGCATCAGGTGTGCTTTTAGCGTGTATAAGTTCAGAGCATATTTGAGTCAGATCCTCAGTACTGGCAGCTTTAGTACTTTCAGAATCTTCTGTAGTAACTATGCTTTGAAAACTCTTCATACAGAATTCTTCTTTGGTTCAGATGCTTCTGACTTGCTTCAGATTCTTCTGGAGCTTCTGCTTCAGATCCTTCTGGAGGCTACGCTCAGGATCTTCTGTTGGCAGCATTCAGAATCATCTAATGGATGCATCTGGCGCTTCAGAGTCTAGCATATTTCTTATGTTCAGTTCTGATTTGCTTCTGGAGTGATAATTACTTTAATATCTACAGCAAACACTCTCAAGCAAATTTTAGAGTATATAATTCTTAATTACAAAATTTCATAATAGTTATCATCAAAACATAGAGATATTATTAAGAACCAATCTGTGTTCTAACAGCCCTCCACGGGCAGAATCCCCATACCTTCGAGCAGGACAACGTGTCTCTCCCACGCCCTCGTGTGCTCCCCTCCGCGGGGAGAATAACACACCTCCAGGGAACCTCGCGAGCTCCCCTCCGCGGGGAGAGCAACGTGCCATGCGCACGTTCTCCACGTGCTCCCCTCCACGGGGACATGTCACTAACCAACTGCCCACCTCCGAAAGAGCAGGTCAAACCCAATTTCTGGAGATCTCGGGACAGTTGGACTAGGGCGAAGACCACATCATGGTCTTCACTATGCCACGTAAGCCCTAGCAGTCACCTGGATTGGGCCTGGCAGTCCAGCCCAACGCAAGTGACCGTTGGCCCAACGCTGGGGTCTCTCTATAAATACCCTCTTCCACAAGAGGGTCAGGTAATTCACTTCTTACCCCTTTTTCTGTACTTGCGATCACTCAGACCATAGACTTACTTTGGCATCGGAGTGCCTTGCAGATACACCCCCTCCTCATCATCATCGGTGAACAGGCAGTAGTCCAACAGAGTGTGGCCAGCCAGCGATCCCCTTCTGATCAGGTCAGATCAAAAGGTATTTCATTCTTCTAATGCATTACTTTTTAGGTATCATATAACAAAGAATGTGAGAAATCGAATTAAACTCGCAGTAAGGATGAAACATAGAGTCTGAAGATGAAAAAATGGTGAAGGTGGGTGTGGTTGTGAAAAAAATAGTGGATGCATGGAATCATATCATAAATTCTTCCACACAAAAAATATATGTCGATTCCGTTATGCATTTCAGGAAAGTGTGTGAAAAGTATCCATATTTGTTAAAATATGTTGAAAGCACAATTCATGACTAGGTGAAGGAGAAAATTATTTGTGCGTGAATTGATAATGTTAGACACCTTGAAAATATAACAACTAACAAAATTGAGTTTGACCATGCTACTTTAAAAAATTGGTTGGAAAATAGTAAGATCGATTTGTGTAAAGACCGAGACTCCGTGAACCACATGATTTAAAACGAACATAGTGAGATATAAAAAATCATTTGGTCGGAGCATCACAGTTTTGGAACACTGATTTAAAGACAACACTATGTACTCACAGTTAGTCGATAACATTTCTCGGACGGGTTTGAATGATATTTTTCATGAGGCTAAACGAGTTGATAATGTAGGTCTCGATAACGCAAAGTTGGATGCACAATTGTGAAAATATTTGCTTTTTCATATGTTTGTGTTATTTCTAAAACGGTGAAACTTGGTGACCCAATAAGAATGGACGGGGTTTGCACTCATTGGAAGAGACTTAGGTTTAATGATGATGGTGTCATGAATGACGGTAAATTGAATATCTCTATTTTGACATAATGGAAAGTGATACAAGAGAGATTTTTGAAAGTCGATGGCAACATGAAACTCCACATTAAAGAAGAATTGAGGAAGATTGTCTATCCGGAAACCACCACAATGAAACTACCCTCTCAACCGGTAAAAACAAAAGGTGCTCCGAAGAAAATGAAGCCTACATTGAATGACAATTCAACTAAATAGTCTCTTTCATATTTTAAACATGCTGACAAAGTTTTTCCGGAATCAATATGCCAGTTATTGAGTAGTTGATAATGATCAATGGCTACTATAAATTAAGCTGCTCTAATGTTATATTTCACACCAACTAAAAATGTCTCAGATGTCACAAATAAATATCAACTGGTATGTCGCAAATGTCTCCTTCTCCAACTCTACATTCGGGCGAAAGTTTAAGCTCACCGATTTCACCTCCCTCAAAGATATCAAAGATGAAATCCACCATCCCCTACCTTAAAGTGACAATCAAAGGATTGTAAAGCTCGAGTACCGTTCATCGTCGATTGACAGCGGAGGGAAGATTGAGTTCAACAAATTTGAGCTCAAGACATAAGCAGATATAAGGTTATATGAAAAACATATTTCCATTTCAAAACAAAAGTTCCTCTCGAGGATTTCAAGATCGGTCAAAGATACTGCGAAGATGGTGAAACGTCCACCTGGATATTGAAGTAACGTTGCATTTTACGTTGAAATGATCTATGTAATCCTAATTTTATTTTATGAATCTTAATTTTATTTGGAAAATTGCATGGTTTTGTCTCTGCTACTGATGTGTCTGTGTTATGGAAATGTATCTACGGAAACATTTTAGAGATGCTACTGACCTTTGTTGAGTGTGTTGAGGTGTGTCTGAAAATGCATCTCTAAAAGATAAGAACATTTTTAAATTTTCGCGTGGTGTCTAAAAAACATATAAGATGTATTAATAAATTCTTTTTTTGTTGATAAATAAATAAATTAAAAGAAGCACAAGGGGTGTCCAACCCAGTTTTTTTTAAAGAAATCCTCATTAGTTTTGGGTCACTATTGAGTATGAGTCCATAGACCACAATTTCATAACTTAGTTTGAAAAAATTGGGCTTCATATAATTCCTCTTTGGACCTATACACCCCCGAAAAAAATCCAAGGGATTTTTTTAACAAAAAATTATATTTTAAAACTTATCCTGTTAGTCTATAAAAAAAGAAAAGAAAAGTAAGTGTAAAAATATTTCCGAAAATTTAACTCTAGTGAAATTTCTTATATGAATATTGAAATCGGAGGTTAAGCAATTCTATTCACATATAGATTCAAATTTAATATTTAAACTAGAAGTTTTTGTGTTAAATCTTCTGGATTCACATATATCTCAAAGACAACTAGAAATGAGTAACTTTCAGTTTGAATATTCAAATGAGAAGTTTTTAAACAAAACATACGGTTTGAAATTATATTCAAACTAGAAGTTTTCTCATTGGTTGTAGTTTCAGGTTTTTGATTTTTTTTAAGTTTTTTTTTTCATATGAAATGTTGAAATAGAGAATAGATTCTTATGTGAAAATTTAACTAAATATTTACAACACACAAATGAATTTTTTCTTTTTATTCAAAGTCACATTTGACCTGGTCGGGAAAGGACACTGCTAGTCTCAGAGTATCTCATACAATCCATTTTTAAGTTTTTTATGAAATTCCTTAAACCACGTCATATTAAAGCAACTCATTTAATTTTTATTTCAATTATACAATTCTAAATAATTTATTTTGAATCCTACAACTTTATTAAACCATGTTGCAATAGTTTGAATATCTCCATTGATTCCCAACTAACCCAACATATTCCATTGCTCTCCTCATTCCCTTGCCACAAAAATTTCCTCTGAATAACTATTAATCTTTGTTGCATTGTCAATGAGACTTTATAAAATGTATACAGGTTAACATCTCCTGATAGGGTGTTTTTTGTTCAATCATACTACAGGAAAATGGTGATGGGGCCTCAACCATGCTGGCTTGGAGAAAGAATGCAGAAAGCTATGGAAATAATGTGGACTGAAAAAGTTCCTGCAAAGATCAAAATGTTTGTATGAAGGATGTTCTGGGATAGATTGCCAACAAGAGAGCAATTAATTAAGAGGAAGATGATTCCTCCTAATGAAGGCCTTTTGTGCAGGCCATGGAGACTGAAATGCAACATCCGATGAAGATAATTGATGCTGACAAGTATGCGTGTTTGATTTGAAAATGTGAAGACTTAGATTTCATGGGCGACTTATTTTGTAAGCATCCAAATCCTACAAACTTGTTGAATACGTTTTCTTTTGTTTCTGCATTTGATAACACATACAAACCCAACAAATACTTACTACTGTTGTTTGAATTTGTCGTTGTCACATCCACAAAGTTTACGTATTCAATGACATTTGCATGCATGGCATCATATGTCAAGAAAATATTTATTAGGCATTTTAGAAATTAAAGTGAATTTTTAATTAAAATGATATTAATTCCTTAGGTGACGGAGGAGTCTTGTTTGATTTTTTGATATTGATTAGGTAATGCGATTAGTTCTTGTGTTGATATGTATGGTCTATTATTCAAGGGATAGGTTCAAGAAATAATATACTTTTTAAAATGGAATGCGAAGGATTTTGTTTTTCAATCAAGTGTAATAATTTATAAGTAATTGGACAATTTATAAAGATAAAATATCTGATAATATTAGATGATCATAATGTTTTGCTAGAAGTCAATTATGTTTTATTGGATAAAGAGATTGGACCAACTACTAATACTATTGGGTCTTATGATATTAATAGAACTGATTAAGTCACCTAATGTATGACATTATAAGCTTAATCAACTCTCCTTCATTTAATTCTATATAAGATAGAGGTTACATTGGAAAGATTATTGATATAAATTACACAATGACGAGTCTGAATCTAATGAAGCACAAGAGTAAGTAACCAGAAACAAACCTCAGTTCATATACCAAAATGTACATACCTAATAGGCGACTGGCAAACGGCTTAACATCAAAAACTTCAAATTCATCCATGTGTTCTCCTGTTCCAATGAATATGACAAGATTCTTAGTAGCTGCAACACTAAACATAAAATATGAATTAAGATTAGATTTACAAATGATGACCACACTAACAAAAATAGATTATCATAACACAAATGCATGCAAGCAACATATTTATAGAAGTTGGTATTTTATCATATAAATATAATACGATCATGTGCGGTAATACTTACGCACTAAGTGCACCACCCCCCTTTGCATGGCCATCCATTTTAGTGATAATGACAGCTCCAACTGCAACACTTTGTTTAAATGCTTGAGCCTGATCAAAAGCATCCTGATCGATACTGCTATCCATGCCATAGATAACAAGATCTGGTTTCTTAATCAATGCAAATAAAAGATATTAGAGATTACTGGTTTTTGGAAACAAACATCGATGCATACAATATCAACAGAAAATATCATTGCTTATGAAACTTGGCGTGTTTCTTCAAAAAAGATTTGTATGGAAGTTAAATCAAAAGAATTGATCAAGAGAATCGTGTTGAGGACTCTATAAAGGTGATAGAAAAGGGCACGAAAGCTTTGAGAGAATAAATAGGAGACAAAATTGAGTCTATCCTACATTTCCCAAAAGTTGCTAGGATAACTCAAGAATGTGTTGAGATCAGAAAAAGGATTCAGATATTGTTCAAAAACATAGAAATCATGGTGCTAAGGAGATATAGGAAGATGCTCCTGACGTAGAAATGGAAGTCGTGTCTTCAGAAAAGGATGATGGATCTAGAAACTGGTTGTATGAGAGTCTAGCTAAAAGTGGCAAAGAGGTAGAAGTTGTAGAGTAGCTTGTTTCATTAGCAGCAGGATCAGGTATTGAGGCTAAACCCATTCATGAATTTAATCTTAATGCTTCACTGAAAAAGTCACCCTCACCACCACCTGCTAAATCCAACCAAACTTCTATCTTAACCATACAACCTTATCAATCAATCATCTATATAAGTACAGTTTTTCTTCACTTCCAAAGACCTCTCCAAACAAAACACCAGACAACATTGTTTCATCAATTGACAAAACCAATCAAGACATTAATTTTATCATTTAAGCAGGCTTACCTTCACAAATTTCTGGTGAACCTGAAAATGCTTTGGATGCTAAGCCTTTTAATGTTGCATCACCCTCAAACAGTTCCACTAAATCCATTACAGATCAACTTGTTCAGGACTATCTTAATAATGGGCCTGAATATGCTGAGTTTGAACCAAAAGCAGAAAACAAAATACAGGATCAACCTTTACCATCAAACCATCAAGAAATCACCCAACACATATCCCCATAAAATTATGCTTTATCCAAACCATCTCAGCACATAACCAACTTTCAGCCTCTACCCAACCATGTAATTTCTCAGTTAGAAGTTTTTAAGAATGGTTTATATGACGAGGAAAAACCAATAATAAAAGAAGGGTTTACGTCTACTGATCCTATGGCTTATGATGCAAAATGGGAAAACTTCAAAAGATCTGTTAACTTGGTCATTCAAAGTCTGAAGAATTTCTCGACAAAGGAAGTCACTGCAACTAGCCAGAAGCAACTGCTCAATCTTGAAGCTAAAGTAGCTTCAGTGGCTGAATGTCAAGAGATAATAAAAATTCATATGGATAGTAATCAACTTTCAGTGGATGCTCAATTCAAGGTTGTTGTTGCAAGGCAAGAAGAAACCAGTTCTTATCTGACGACACTCGTGAAATTATTGAAGAAACCTTAGGTGTAGGATGTAGCACCTATTTATGTATTAGATGGCTTGTTTATCTTTTATATGTGTGATGACATGCTTGTGAACTTATCTTATTTCAGATTACTTTATACAATTTATTCTTGTTTTAATTAACTTGTGCTTTATGTTTCTCTCTTGATTATTTAAAGTGACTGAAACTTGTTTTTGTTGTCTTAATAAATAGAAACTGACAAAGAGAAATCTCATTAGAATTTAAAAGTTACATTAGAATAGATAAGACAATACAACAAATTTGTACATCCCTACTCTTCTTTGTTGCTTCAGTCATCTATCTCAGTGTTGCAAATAAATTAATTCCATGATTGATCTGCTTCTTCATCTTCAAAAGAAGGAACTTCATCATTAATGGAAGATTCTTCATGAACATTTCTGTGTTCTTTCAATCCTGAAGTTTGTACTCTGTAAGCAGCCAATCTGGTTTGAACACCTTCATCTTCCTTCAATTTTTGTTTCTCTTTTCCTGCATCAATATGAAGTTTTGTAGAAAGTTCCTTGACTGCCAAACTTTTCTCTTTTTCCATTTCAACCTTCTTTAGTAATTCAAACTCTCTTGCAAAATTTAGTTTTTCACTCTTGTGAGGAATTGAATTATGAGATTTTATCTTCATAACTAGCTTTTGCTTGAAGTATTTCTGAGAACTCGATGAATTCTTGAGGAAACCATGCCAATCTGATTTTATAGTGAGCTTTGAGTATTCGTTCAAGTACAAATATGAAATCTTTGAACATTGCACTAAACCCTATAAAGTTGCATTCTATCCAACATATTCTTTACTTGACTCTAACTACTCTTAACCCTATAAAATATCATTGACCATCTTGAAATACTGCTCTTCTGTTCAACATTTTCTTTAATTGTCACCTCTCGTATCTTTTTTAAATCTTTTTGATGTGACAAAAGGGGGAGAAAAGTGTAAGAGTATTTAATAAACAATCTGAACCTTTCAGATTTAATGTTGTTCATTTATAATTTAATCTAGTTTTAAATTTCTGTTATTTTGGTTATTTTTCCCAGGTGATATATTTTAGTTTACTTGAATATAGAACTAAGGGGGAGCTTACATACATCAACCTTGGACTATTAGACATAGAGGGAGCTTACAAACCTCAGACTCTAATGTTAATAAGAAAATTAAAATATTTTTTCTTGAATATAGTACTTAGGGGAGCTTACAGAACTCAACCTTGGACTGTTAGATTCAGGGGGAGCTTACGAACCTCATACCTTGATGTTGCCAAGAAAATTATAGTTACCTAACATTGTTCTTTGAATACTTATGTTTGTCAATATCAAAAAGGGGGAGATTGTTAGAACAAGATTTGTTAATGACAATATCCTTTGGGTTTTGATGATAACAAAGTACTGAAAGAACAATGGTGTTATCCATTATGTGTTCCAAATATGCAGGTTCTAAAGCTTAAAGAGAATACTTTCAGAATTTGATATAAGGACACACTTGAGAGAAGCTGAGTTACCAACCTCTGGTGGTTTAGAATCTAAAGAATACTCTCTAAGTGATGTCTGATATAGACTCTAAAGTTGAAGGCCTTAGCATCAGAATAGCAACATATTATCTCTACACTTAATAAATGTATCAGCTTTTGGTGAACATTCAGAGTTAGTAATAAGCTAATGTTATATGTGCCGCAGAAAGCAAGCTGCATTGTAAAATCAGTTTGCCAGGTAGAGTCTTTGTTCACAAGGCTTTAGAAGAGTTGACATACTTTACAGATATCTACTCTCAACGGATCTATAGTACAATATTACCCAGAAGATGAAATGGATAAACAAGTTACACAATGGATTAAGATCTTTTGGTGTATCTATCTTCAATACCCCTTATATTATGAAGAAACAATAACACTTTCCAACGGCTAGTCTTCTACAACTGCTATATAAGTAGCTAAAGATTCAATCTGAATTTTCAACAAGGAACAAGGAGAAACTAGAGAAGGAAAGCCAAGAAGGATATGAGTGTTTTACACTTCTCTCTGGATGGAGAAATAACAAGATCAACAATAATCAACACAATCGAGTATGCAGAAATTCTGTTATATGTTGTAAATTGTACAAAGCCTTAAGATTTCTTAAACATTGAATATCTTAGAAATCTTAAGTGCTTAAGGTCTTTGTTATAGTGATTACCATGTACCTCTGATTTTGTATCAAGTACATCTTGTTCTCTGTTATTCTAAACAGGTTGTTTAGTAGTTTAGATAAAGTCTCTTGTTATATGCTTGAGCATCAAAGTCTCCATCTGAGAAGCTTGAACCAAGTAAGTCTCCTGCTATGTGCTGGACCATCAAAAGTCTTGAACAATTTTTAATTGAGCAAGTCTTGAGCCTGAGGCGCTTGAGCAAAGAAGTCTCGGGTTCGTGGAACCTGAGCAGGAAGCCTTCGACTTCAGGGTTTGAGCAAGGAAGTGTTGAGCCTGAGGGGTTTAAGCAAGGAAGTCTTGGATTTGTGGAATCTGAGCAGGAAAGTCTTAGGATGCGATCTAAGCAAAAATTCTTGAACCTGAGGGGTTTAAGTAGGAAGTCTCGGGCTGAGGGTCTGAGAAAGGAAAGTCTTATGCTTAAGTGCATAATTATAATCATGATTTAATTATAATGGAAAATCTCTTTGGCTGCAAGGGGACTGGCAACTCTCAGTTTAGGAGGAGGCATGATAAATCTGTGGTGTTCTTTATCTGTTTATTTAGTTTTATTGATATTCGTTTTACCTGTTATCAGGTTCTGAACTTTAGTTTAGAATTCTTAACTCTATTGAGAAGTAGTAACAAATTTGGAGAACACAATTCAACCCTCTCTTTTTGTGTATTTTCCTCACCTTTAGAGAGAGAGAGAGAGAGAGAGAGAGAGAGAGAGAGAGAGAGAGAGAGAGAGAGAGAGAGAGAGAGAGAGAGAGATTGACTAGGATTTATACTAGTTTAATACATTCATCATTGTTTGGTATCTAATATAGTATCTGATAGTGATCCATCAGATATTGGCTTCCCTTAGTTCAGATTATGGTTACAAAGTTGTTTGGCACAAGATAAATATCATAGAAAATGCGTAAAAAGCTTGACACTAAGCAACCTATTATTTTATCTTGATCTTTTTCAATTGTGCTTAACTCACTAAGTTTAATGATAGAATTCACTTCTTAATTTCATTAGAACCACATTTGAACCCTCAAGATACATGACATTTCTATTAAAAATTATCCTTCAAACTCTTCTCGAAATCCTTATATCCTGAATGAAATGTGAAAATAAGAAACTCCAAAGTTCGTTTTGGAGAAGAATCTTCTTTTTTCTTCTTTGCAAATTCAGTTATAGAATTCCACCACAAATTCTATAACTAGAAACATTCAATCACACATTAGCACTCTAATGAATTCCTCACAAACAAGCTTACACTCTTTAAGTGAATCATACATACATGATTCAATGCTATCTACTTTGGTCTACAAGCTAGTTTTCTAATATTGAGAAACACTTGTGTAAAAACCAGGGTTTGTTCTTGGAAACTTGAGTGACTATTTTCATGTAACTGTTTTGCAATCTCTTGTA